GGGGACGTGTAGGGGGAGAAGGAGCGATGGAGAAAGGGGACCCGAAGGACGACGGCGGGGGACGGTACTTACCGGCCGGAGGAGGGGACACGCGCGCTCTTCCCTACGGTTCCTGGTTGCTAAGCAACCTGAGCGTGGGGCAGGGACCGGGACGGGAGCCGATCAATTCTCATTGGTACCCGCGCTCCAGCCCCACGGGCTGCGTCACCATAGTGAGCCCCCTCGCTCCCAAAGTCACCCGCCCCAACCCACCCGTGCTCGGTGCCCTCCGGGACAAGCATTCCTCTCACCCGTTTCAGATGCGGGGAGGTGTGGGGTGACCAACAGCGAACGAGAGGTAGACCAGGATTCTAGATTCCACCGCCTCCCCATTCTAGTGACCACTGCATCCCCTTTTTAAGGGTAAACAGCCCCAAGATGCAAAGCAAGGCCCCTGGGAAGACTCCAGAATCCCAAGTGGCAGCAATGGCCATGACATTACCGCCCCCACCCCCACCCCCAGTAAAACAAAACACAGGAGAGGAGACTGGTCTTTATTAGCAAGCCCTGCCTGCAGCTCCCTGCCCCCAGCCCAGCCCAGGAGGACAGTGGGTCAGGTCTGTGTTGGGGATGGAAAGAGGTACCAGTGGTTCTACTCAAAATGTGTGCACCAGCTGGACTGCGGGCAGAGTCTGGACAATCTGGATGGAGGGCAGGCCCTGCGAGGCCAAGCCCCCGGGCACGGCTCCTGGGGGGACCACTTGTAACATCTGGGAGGCAGGAGCGGCGGGGATGCCGGCAGGGGCAGAGGCTGGGCTAGGTGGCGGAGGGGCCAGCAGCTGCAGTGTGGTGGCACCGCTCCCCACACCGCTGTTTTCCAGCAGCTCGGTGGCAGGGGCACTGCGGATGATCAGCAGTTTCTGTCCCTGAGGCCCTGGAGCCGGTGGCTCCGCGAGCCCTGAGGGGAGGGTCTCTACCTCCTGCACACACAGTTGGGTCTGCTCCCCATCTGCCCCACTCAGCACCAGGACACTCTGCAATCCCTCCTCTGTCTGCAGAGTCTCAAAGAGCACGTCCTGGACCACACCAGTGGCGGCCTCGCCCTCACCCGGCTCCCCAGGGCCAGAGGCGGCCAGCAACTCCTCGGCTGCCCCACTCTGCACCACCAGCAGGTTGGGGGCCTCAGTGGTCACGGCTCCTCCACTGGGATTAGACAGCTGGCCTGCCACAGGCTGGAGCTGGACCGTGGTCACCTCCTGTGCGGGCTGGAGCTGGACCGTGGTCACTTCCTGCGCGGGCTGGAGCTGGACCGTGGTCACTTCCTGTGCTGGCTGAAGCTGGACTGTGGTCACTTCCGGGGCCGGCCTGAGGGGCTGAAGCTGGACCCCACTCACTTCCGGCGGCCCCACCTCCCCACCACCCACATTCTGCAGAAGGATGAGGCTCTGTCCTGCCCCGTTAGCCCCGGCGCTGCCTGCTCCCTGCACCCCCAGTCCCCCAGGGCCGGGCAGCCAGACCACCCCAGGCCCCTGCCCAGCTTTCCCCACTGCCCGCAGGCCCTGCCTTGC